GAGTGCCAGTCTCCTCCCCGCGCTGCTGGGCGAGCTGCTGCCGCCGCTAGCCTCAGGGCTCCGGAGCACACGGACCAGGCTGCAGTGCAGGGAGGGGAGCTGCTGCCAGGTGACAGTGCTGCTTAAGCTGCGGGCTTTAGTGTCCGGGCACATCCCCCTGCTACCAACCCCCAGCGGGGCCCGGTGCCTGGGGTTATCCCCCGGCTGTGAGGTGTCAGTCTCAGCTCCGCGCCGTGGAGCACGGTGCCCGGGATTACCCCCGCCTGGCTGTGGGGTGTCAGTATCTGCTTTGCTCCATGGGGCGCGGTGCCCGGGGCTATCCCCCTGGATGAGGGGTGTCAGTATCAGCTCTTCTTTATGGGGCCCGGTGCCCGGGGCTATGTCTCCCCACACACACAGAGGGGAGCATTGCTTTGGCTGTAGGGTATCTGCTCTGCTCCATGGACCACGGTGCCCGGGGTTATCCTCCTTGGCTGTGGGGTACCAGTATCTGCTCCATGGAGCACAGTACCGGGTTATCCTCCCCCCTTCCCCCCCCACACACACGCAAGGGAGCATTGTTCTGGCTAGAATCTGCTTAGTTTCATGGGACACGGTGCCCGGGCCATAACCCCCACTCTCCAAGGAGATCTCTGCTCTGGCTGTAGGTGGGTGTTTAGTGACGTGAAGTTTAAAGCTCTCCAGTCCCCTCTATGGAGTGTTACTATGGGGGGCAACGCTGGGTTATACTACCACGGACTGTTGTTTTGAGTCCGAGGAGTATTTCTTTATGTCTAATGCCAGATTTATCTCTAAAGCACACCGCTTTTAGTGTGGATTCATTGTTAGTAGGTTATGTGCTGTGTTGTTTGGAATATTGCTTATGTGTCTGGAGCAAGGTACCTTTGGGGTGTAAGTACTGCAATGGTTGTGAGGTATAGTTTATGTATTATCCAGTATCAATATACACTCTGGTTTAGTTGATTAATATAAGGTTAAATAAAGGATAATGAATATGGTTAGAGGCATATTCTGTGGAAATAGATGCATGATTTAGCCTGTGCTGATGAGTTGATTCCCACCTTCCTTTCCATCTCGTATTGAACAGTGTTATCTGCATGAGTCTTTGCTTTTCTTCGTTTCTGATTCAGAAATCTCTCTGATGTTTGTGGCTGTGTTTTTGGTGAATGAATGATAGTTTGAGGTGAATGTTACATAGGTTGTGAGGAAACCATGCAGAAAGGATACAAGTAAAAAAATAATTCTGGCTTTAGGGTAAGGAAAGGGAAATCATTAAAGTGTGTATCGGTGCTGGGAAAAAATGTTGTTCCAATACATGGTCGTAAACATTTTTAAATGCTTTTCTTGACTTGATGGTAAATTGAAATGTTTTGGTAACTGCAAGTTGGAAAGTGTTTGAATCATCGTAATATGAGAGAGAGCTATTTTTTGAGACGGAGGTGGGAAGAGGTCATCTTATGTTGGTGTTTTATATTAATTCTGTTTCTCTTTAACATTATCCAATATGCATGCAGATTGACAGTTGCAAATGGATCATGATGTAAAAGCTCAGAAGACTTCTTTATAACGCGTTTCGAACTGACACAATAAATTCAGATTTGTTGCTGGAAAAACCCCTTTCACTTTGTATTTTAAATACCCATTTATTTTACATTTTAAATATACTTTTTCTTTTTATTTTCAGTTTACTGACATACATTTTAAAGGGGAAAAATCCAAGAAGCCTCTTTTTGCAGGAAGACAAGAAGATGCATTAGAGGAGACACAGCCCGGACTCTTCTGTAGGTGGTGGTGACACACAGAAGTTACTTTGCCTTTGGATAGAAAAGACCTGTGTGTAATTAATGCGTTACCCCTCTGCCTCCCCCAGAAGTTGTCTGGATTGCAAAGCAGCGGGGCGTCAGCAGCTGCTCATCTCGGGCAACAGAAGATTATGGTGGCAGCACTACAGTAGCAGCCGCGGCAACAACGGCAAACAGCAGCAGAGATAGTCCGTCCGTGAATGTGTTTTCTGAATAAAACCAGCTTGGCAAAGTGCAACCTGAAGATTCAGCAGCTAGGCAGGAATTGATAACGTTTAAAAGAGGGACACATTTTAAGGGGGATCGAGGGAGGCGACACTAGGTTTTGTCTGTGTGCTTGTGGGAGTGGGGGTTGGTTATCATGGCGGATCGGACAGCTCCTAGATGCCAGCTCCGTCTGGAATGGGTTTACGGGTACAGGGGTCACCAGTGCCGCAACAACCTGTACTACACGGCAGGCAAGGAGGTGGTTTACTTCGTGGCTGGAGTCGGGGTGATTTATAACACCAGAGAACACACCCAGAAATTCTTCTTAGGACACAACGATGATATTATCAGGTAAGGGGGGGGGGGAGACGGTGGGCTGGGATTAATAAGGAGTGATGTTTCTGTAATGTTTGAGAGAAGTGCAGATTTTCATCAATATCTGGTCTGTCTGGATCCTACCTGATCTTGTACCGAAGCCTCCAAATTGTAACTCACAATAGAAAACAAGTGTAGCCTTTTCTACTGCACAACAACCAACCAGACACCTTCACTACCACCACCACAACAAAAACTTTGGTACAATAACTTTACTGCAAAACCCCTGCCAATTTTCAGTTCACTGTCTGAAATGTCTATTATTACGTCTAAATAGAGAATGTTGTGTAGATGCCACTCTATCACCAATAAAGTCTGGACTCCAGGCCTCTCAGTTCAACAGCAACACAAATGCCCAGATCTGACACCTGAATTCAGCCAATTTTTGGTTCACACACTGCCAATGCAATCTTTAAAAGAAAGAACAAGGTTAGCTGCTCATGCCCCAGGAACAAAAAATTTGATGCCAATGTATTCTGTTGCAACAGTATCAGGAAGTCTAGATTCAATACCTTAATCCTCCTGGTTTGTCAAGTTTTCGTTCTAGTCTCTCACATTCTGCTTCCTGAATAGATAATGTATTTAGCCATCCCTGCTGTACTTGAAGAATTTTGACCCTGATGTGTTCTAGTACGGATAGCATTGTAAAAACTTGGATTCAGTATCTGGGTTCAGCTATATCCTGCCAAATTTTGTTCATAAACACAGAAACTGTATCGAAACAGAGAACAGGTGTTGCTTTTACTATACCACCTGAGAAATCTGGATCACAGTACAAAAAAGCTGAATGGACTGCTGGAGCCAGCTAACTGTTGGCCACTTACCACTTTTTACCACCTACATTTAGCATAGATTAAACTTCTCCTATTCAAACAAAATAATTTAGAATCCAGAATAGTGCCTGATGAATCATGGTGTAACAGTGCTGTAGAAAACACATACACACCAATTGAATCTGGGGATATCCATCTGGGTCTTGGTACTGCAATATGCACATTCTACAATTATCATATAACTTCTGGAAATCCATCTTCCTTTTACAACACGTCTTTTCCTATCACATGTGTTAGTTGGCTCATTTCCCTCCCTCCTTTCATTGGATGCACTTACAAAGTTCATTTTGGTTTTAGAGTTACTACCAATCCATGTGGCATTCTCTATTTAAATTTTATTTCTTGAAATGCTACATCTAAAATCAGAATGAACTTTTTAAACGTATGCATGTCACTTCATTAAATTCCTGGTATCTCCCTTTTATGTGACTGGTCATTTATTTATTTTTAAACGCTAGAAAGTTCTTATTTAGTATGTATATATGAGTTTATTTTAATACACTTGTTCAAAGCTTTTATTTCTTGGCATTTCTATCTGCTAAGGATTATTATTATTGTATAAATTGTATGGTGAGTCATTTATAGAACATTTTGGATGATTGCTTCCAGCACACTGCATATGTACTAAATTTTGATGATAAAACAGACGGTGGGTATGTAGGTGTTCAGCATTGGCATTTTGACACTACATGCCTTTTTATCCTAATTTTAAAGGATAGTAGTATGCAAATCAAAACATTGTTTGAGGATTAGCTCTGTGATTAGTATATTATGTTAAGATTTGAGACTCCAGTTCAATTTCTGAGCTGGTAGGGCTAATTCTGTTAAGTCAGCATGTTCCACTCTTGGAGGTGGCAGGAATATTTTGTATTGCTCAAAATTGCTCTGTTGCCAAATAAACAGCAGCATCAATGGGATCCAAGGAGGAGTCTGATGTATCTCAGTCATGGCTAAGGAAGGTTGCTCTGATGTTGGGCTTAGGAAAGGACAAGTCTTCTGCTGAAAACCCTGCTCCCCCAAATTGTGGTGGAATTTTTTTTTTTGCATTTATAGTACTTTATGCTTTTTATTCCTTTGGTACATTTAATGATTCTCATTAATAGAGTATTCTGGCACAGCATTCCATATAACCACTTTTTAGCTGAATGTTTTCTGGTATGATCAGTAGTGAAGTGCTTATAAATGTTAGCATTTTAGGTCCAAATGCAGGAATTTCTGTGTGTGTGTATGTGGTGTGTGTGTGTGTAGGGTGTGTGTGTGTTTGTTTGTTTTTTTAAATGTGGACTGCAAGGGTGTGAATGCACCCCCAGGGAAATCAGCCCCCTTCCCCTGGCAGGCCAGAGCATGGCGGAAGGAGGCTCAGGCAGCACAATGCTCCTGCCTTCCCTTGGCCAGCTGGACCATGCTTACTTGGGGAATTATGAGGGGGAGGGGGTGCTTTCATACCCTTCACACCCCACTGCGTACGGGCCTGCATTTAAATTGTCACAGTTAAGCATCAGAACCAACATCTTATTAAGATGAATGGGGAATAGTTTTCTAGTATATCCATTGGTGCTATTATATTATTTTGTGTGTGTCCTGATACAGGACAACGGTGCGTAAATTTGCAATCTGAAAGTTCATTGTAATTGAAGGGATTTGTAACATTTCTTAAAAAAATGAATGTTTACACTTTGGAAAATATTGCAGTATCAGTATGAAAGCCTTGGAATGTGTGGGGGGTTTTTCTGCCTCCTTATCTTCCTATTGGCCAAGAGTTGATGAAAGCTATAGAAATATTAATAGAAAATGAGATTTAGCATCTCAGTTTGCAGTTGACCAAAGTCATTTCCACAGTGAAAAATCATGTTAAAATCATTTTATTTTCACTAGTTCACAAATTGCCCTGTCTTTGCTTTGTATCAATACCATGAAGTAGTTATTTTTTTACTCAATTTAAAAAGAGCCTTTTTAATGATCAGAATTAAAATTTCGTGTGGGGAAATTAGTGGCACTTTCCCAAGATCCACCCCTCTCCCCAAATCAGTTTCTGTGCACTCGAAACACCAATCTTGGTGAAATGTCTTATTGTTCAAAATATGATTATATGGGCTCTGCTATGGTCTTCCTTCATGAAGGGAGGGAAATAAACCATGATGTTCTCCCAAGCACCATCTATTTCTGATGCAAAAATGAGATGCCGCTCATGTATGCTGTCTTCTTAATACAATTCTCCCTCTCCTTTATGTGTTTTATCAGCTGTGAAATAATTAATTATGTTATTTAAATTATTGTTTTGAGTTTGATCCATGACATCAACAAGGTGAATAGGGGCAATTCGCACATTACAAGACTATTGTTACAGTCCCTCTGAAAATGCAGACAGACATGGAATCACATACATCAGTTATAGACATCATAGCACTTTTATTTTTTATCATTTTTTTCATAATCAGAGAGCGAGAGACTTACTTTTTTTTAAATGAAAGCATAAATTCTGGAGCATGAGATAGCCACACAGTAGTAATAAGATGCACAGGTAGAATGTTCTGTATTTCTACCTGTGCACCAAAACTTACATATGTTAATTCCGCTGAGTTGAAAATTACTCACATGTGTAAGTCTTTTCAGAATTGGGCCTGTTGTGAGCCGAATTCAGGATGAGTTGTAACATTAATCTATTCAGATGTTAAGGTCACCATCCTGTTTGAGTAAAACTGTGGGTTTGAAGCGAACAAACTGTAGTGACAGGCAAACAAAATTAACACAAGTAGATGAGGGAATAAGTTATGCACCTTCTTTATTTTAAGACAGCTTTCCACAAAATGCTCCTTCTCATAAAAGCGACAATATACACTTTTTGGTCTTTTTCCTGTGAGTAGATGCATGGTATGGATCCTCTTTTATGTAATCCCATTAACTTCAATGGAAAACCAAGTAAGTCCAAGAGTTTGGGCCCTAGTTTTAACAATAACTGAAGTGTTTCAAGAGAACCTTCATTTTCCTGGAACTTGAATTTTAAATTATTTGTTTAGCAACTAGCATTGTCATCTTACTTATCTCTTAAATGAATTATTGAAAGGGGAGTATTATCACTAAAATTTGTGATAATATGTTGGAACAAATTAATCTCTAGGGTAACTCCACTGGTTTTTTTAATCTAATAGTTTATGTTCCACAACAAAATATAGTCTTTTGAAATATTCCCAGTGGCTGCAACATAATCAGAATTTTTGGATTTCTAGATCTAAATTACATTTTTACCAATTTCTACAGCATTTAACATGTTTCCTAATGCCTTTGAAGTTATATCAGGAAACCTAATGAGAGCATTACATAAATTACATTGTTTTTCTTGTTTCTGCAGTTCTTAAAACACGGTATGAATTGTAACTTGTGTTTTCCTTGACGGATCTGTTGAATACTAAAATAATATAATGTTATACATGTACAAGACCACATTTGTATTCTATCTGTGGGGAAAATAAATCAGCTGTGAGGCAGGAAACTACAAATCATAACACCTTTACTATAGTTTTATTATAATAGTTTATGCCTCCAGATATTAACTAGAAAGCCAGCCTGCTAACCTCTGGTAATAAACCATGTTATTTATGTGAGAGAAACTGCAACTTAATAATAATGTGGGATTTGTAAGAATAACTCTGTAAATACTCTGGTATATGTGTTCCACTGTGCTGACAGGCTAGGAAGTTAAGACAGATTAAAAAATATTGATGTGTCACCAGTGATGGGATTTATTGGGTTGAGTGAATAGATGGAGGTTTGGTTTATTTCTTACAGTGATTATTTCAGAAGATAGAAAAGGTATTAGAGAATGACTACCCATTTTTGCTGGGTTGATAAGAGTTGTGAACAAAATGTGATGCTTGAACCAAAGCCACTTGTTCTTGGGAATATTATATATTATTTTAGAGAAAACAAAGATGAAGTCATGGTCATCAACCACCTGGAATTAAACCATCTTAGTTTCATTGATAAAGTACAGTACAATATTTTACAAAATTGCTTATTGTAATAAAGTGTTAGGTTTACATGGTGTCTCTTATGCCCAGAGATTCTAAAGTACTTAACACACTTTACATGCAGTTATTTTCTAATAATATCTGCTGGCAAATGTTCATCATACAATGATAACCA